AATTTTTTGCAAATTCGAACCAAGCTGCCTCACTTGGAGTAGGTGCGGAACAATACCTTGGGTGAGGAGAACCTTTGATGGGCTTCTGTCCATACTTCCTCCATGAATACTCGTCAGGGGGTATATCAGCTAACTTGTTGCTTATGGCAGGTACTTTGATTGATCTTTTCACCCGATGCTTCCTGTATAATTAGGGGGAAAACGGTAAAGAAAAGCAGTATAAATAACTCCAATGATAATAGCTAATAATAAAGGCTAGAAATAACCACCTCTTCTTTGAGCAGTGGCATCGACCACTACTTCCACATTTCCCACTTCCATCCTCTCCCCTTCCAGAACACCTTCTCTTATGTTGGTATGAGTTCTGATCAGCAGATCGAGCTGCCCCGACAAAATGGAAGGCATTTCCGTTCAAATTAGTAACACTTCCATCTATGCTCAAGGAAGAGATAAAAGACCTTGTGGACGACATGGTAGGAGTACAGGTAGACCTATCGAAATTCAGACTAATGCCACTATTACTATGACAATACATCAGTTCAGCCTGCTGTTTCAACCGCTGTTGGTACCTTTGCTGTTGACACTGCAGCTGCTCTTCGGGAAAATGATAATTTTGAATTGCTGATTGCTGGGATTGTTGAAGAGGATTTTTGCTGTGTGAGCTCAATTCCAAAGAATAGTTCCCCAATGTGAGATCACTCTTGACATTGGATCCCCTTTCTTGAATTGGGTGGTTTTCGACAGAATTGGTTTGAAGGAGATGAAGGGGTTTTGGTTGATCATCTGTTCGACAGATTGGGTTTTCAAGAAAGAGGTTTTGAGTGAAAGGGGATTGAATTTTCTTCGATGTTCTGACTCTAGCATGACCACAACTAGAATTAAGAAGAGAAACAACTTTCTTAAACTTGTGTATTGCCTCCCCTGTTTGTTCAACTAAACTCCTTAACTGATGCTCACCTTCGGGATATGATACAAGACCAAGCACTCTATGAGAACTCTCTACAGCGGCACAATTTGCTTCTTCAATCCCCTCCATCTCACACCCTAATTCCAAATAAACCTAATTCCCAAATTTAAGAGCACCTCGAGAGGTGAAAAAGAGAATTCTTCATAACTACTGATTCAATTGATTTTCAATTATCCAGAAAGAGCAAAAGCTGAAAAATCAAATACTTAGTTAAAACCCCCCTTTCGAGGAAAAAACATATTTACCAAAAAGCTTCTTTTACAAAAATCAAAAGGTATTAAGCAAAGGAAAGATCATGAGGTTGAACTGCGCATATGAAAATCAATCAAAAACAAGAAAATTTCAGATAAATTCATAAATTCAAATGGCAGACAACAATTTTATCAACTAAAAAAGAGAGGGTAAAAATACAAGAGGTTTAAAATTAAAGATTGGAAAAAATTAACCTCGTTTGAACTTTTGGATTGCTGCAAAACCCTAGAATCTTCCCATCTCCATAGAGCGTCTACGAAAGCAAGAAAAATAGTTTGAAAGGTGTGAAGAAGGAGAAGACTTTCGCTTCGTGTCGCCAGAGCGTTCACGCAGCCAAAAGAACCCAAAAATGCATTCTTTAATACGTTACTACTGCAAATTATTAGTATAATATTGCATTTATGAGATGAGAGAGAAAGCAGGGAGATTACTCAGATTAGAGAGAGAAAGTACATCAACTTTATCCATTTATCAAAATTACACGTGAAATTAATAGCATTACTATTTCAAAAGATTACTATTATTCATTCTCAGGTTACAAAAAAATAATGCTATTCATCACCAATAAGGTTATAAATACAGTTTAGGTGGCTCTAAATGATAGGTTAAATTAAAGATAAAATTAAATAACTTATTTAATTTCACATATTATTTAACGTCACATTAATGCCACATAAATTGTGTTTGTAATCCCAGTGAGGATGTTATTCATCCTCAGTGGGATTACAAACATAATCTAAGTGGATCTAAATGATAGGTTAAATGAAAGGTGAATGACTTATTTAATTTTACCTATCATTTAATGTCACCTACACTGTGTTTGTAACCACATTGGGGATGAATAACATTACTCTTTTCAAAACTTTATTTTTACCTCAAATTTATCAACTTCATTTTCAATCACATATTTCATAAAATTCATAATATTTATCAAATTTTCAACCGTATATTTTATTAATTTTTATCAAAATTTAATAAAAATATAATTTTTAACTAAATCAAACAGGGGCTTAATATAAAAACAACTTACAACTTATATTTCATGCATATACATGAATTTACTTCCGTTGGTTAATACTAACAGAACAATCCATGTGAAAAACGTAGAGAGCAATGACATGATACACTCTTGACAAGATACTTGCGGGAATATGAACTTTACCTTTATATCAAAACATTCATGAATTTTACCACTGTAACAAAATCATACGTAAACTCGACTTTATATTAAAATTATACGTAGACTAACAAATTTGTATAACATCCATTAATGAATTAATTTTCATCTATCAAAACTAAGAAAAATTCACGTGGCAAACAAATTGCATATGTGATAATGATACGACAAACCCTTATCATTACTAAACCACATCATTTGATGATGAAGAATGTGTGGTTAAAAAATAAAGAAAATTTTTAGTTTGCGTGTAATATTATTTTATTGAAAAATGTGTAATTGAAAATAAGAGAAAAATATATTTTTGAAATAATTGGTATCAAACTAAGTACTAAACCACTTTTAATTGTGGTTTCATTGGTTTCCATTTGATGTTTAGAAGAATATGTTCCCGCTATTTCTTTAAAGCGTGTTTTGTGTGTTTGATAGATATTATTGAGAAATGAAAGTATTTTAAATAGTGATATGATGGAAAATATGTGGTTAAAAAGTAATAAAAAAATTTTAATGTGATGGCAAATATTATTTTATTGAAAAACGTGTGGTTGAAAATGAGTTTTTAAAAAAATATGTATTTTTAAAGAATGTGTACCACATGGCCATTTTTTTTAATGAAGATTAAATTAGATTTTGATAAAAATGATGAAATATATAATTGATAAGTTGTGGGTTACATAAAATATGTAATTTAATTTAATTCTTAACTTTAATTTTGATAAAAATCTAGATTACTATCTCTACCAAACAAGGCTAAATGTAATTTAAATACCTTAAAAATACTACAAGTTAAAAGATGTTATTTAGCCCCAGTTTGACAATCAGTTAAGGAAAATAGAGTTTTGAATTGTGATTTTTAGGAAAATGTATGATTAAAAAATAATGAAAATTTCGGGTTTACGGGCAAGATATCTTATTGTGTGAATGTGTGATTGAAAATGAGTATGTAAAAAAAGAATTTGGAAATAATAGTTATCAAACATGGGCTAAGTAATGCAAAGTGTCCAACATGTTATTGCCTCGTAGGCAATTCGTTTGTCACGTAGATTATTTCGTTAATTTTGATAAGTGAAAGTTAATTAATGTATTGATGTGGTATATATTTCTAAGTCAAATTTGAGTTCATATATGATCTTAATATAAAACAAAAGTTCATATCTGATTTTGATACAATTGATGAAGTCCATGTATTATTCGTATAATTAACTTGCCAAGTGTCGACTCTGTTATTACCACGAAGGCATTTCATTTGCTAGTGAATTGTTACGTCAGTTTGGCCAGATAAGAGTCCGTTTATGTATGGATATAATATAAAATTGCGAGTTCGTGTATTATTTTCCTATGAAGTTGGCATCATATATGATTTTGATATACATGATAAAATCCATATGCTCGTAGTAGATTCATCTTTTAGTTTTCAAGAAAATGACCTTTTGTCAGTGATTAGCTTATTTTGATGATTATACGATTTATAATTTCGCATCAACTTTGTTGCTTCCAATTGCAAAGTCTTATCCCTTAGTTTTCAAGAGCACCCAACTATAGGCTTTTTAACTTGTGAGACCACATTTACATAATAAATTATTTTGATAAAAGAAAAAGTTAAAAACTTTAGACCCCAACTTGTGACTTTTCGTAATAAGAAGGTTCTCATGTATAAAATTTGTCTGAACTCTGGGTTTTTG